TCCCAATGATTTCAAACGTTAAACTTATTGCTGTAGGTTATGCAATTTACTTAATACTTTTAGCACATTTCATTAGCCTTCATTTCCTCATTTTTATTTTAAATTGCTTAATTTAACACGTAGATATATCAAACATCCAATAAACAAATGTTTACACACTGAATTAACTGCAGTGTTTATATTCTGTCAAAATGCGATCGTTTATAAACGAATGCAACTGAACAATGGTAAAAAGCTAAGCCTATTTTTCGTTTGAATTTATGGAACTGAATGCCATACGCATTGTCCAAATTGCAACGATAAATTCCAAGTTTCAAGAACACGTACCAGGGGTGGAGCTTCTTCCCCTCGCCACTCGCCATACACCATACAATACTCTGCGTGAGGTCTTTACACTGTAATACTACGCATAATCAGTATTTGTTGTTAATGATTATAGAGTAAGCGTGAAACGCCATCACACCTCTGAAATTCAGGCTCAATTTTCGCGAAGAAATTAAAAGCCAGTTACTATAATATTTAGTTACAAATGACACTATCCAAAATCTACCGTTTCGTTTGGTTTTTACATTCTTACCCTGAATAGATTTATTCCACTAAAGTTTATTCATAGTTTAGCCTAATAGAATTATAAGGTTTTTATAATCTTAATTGTTAAATATTTCTTCGTTATCTTTGTAATTGTATTATAACATTTCTCTCATTTTTTTTCTTCTACTTCAAGAAAACGTTATTATTTTGGCACAGTTATTTAATTATACATTTCACTGTACCTGTTAGATTGTGGGTATCTTCAAATAATTCATCAATTTTAAACCAAATTTTGTTCTTTCCTGATTTGATGTTTGGTTTCCTGCCAGCCTTTCAGAGTCATTGCCATTCCAATGTGAGTTTCATAAGTTTTTGCAAAACTAACAATAATAATTATTTAATTATAATATTTTTTCTTTGCGTAGTAGTTTTTGCAGTTTTTGGAATGTATTGATTCATATCAGCAAAGTATTATCATTGTGTTTTTCGCAAAATACAAACCGACATGTAGCTTATCAATAATGTATTTACTGTAGAAAAGGGTGTATACCGGATAACATAAACTGAACAACTTCGTCGTGGTGGTTAAAATAAATTACCAGTACATGTTATATGAAAAACCTTGTTACCATATTGAATGTAAGTAACACGACATGTCACTGATTAGACATTGTGGCGTCAGTGATTGATAAGTCAATAATGTCACCACAGCTTTGACGTCAATCCTTCATCTTGATTAATGAACGAGAGACAGTTTATGTTTATTTTACTATTGACATATTGAGTACTGTTTTTACTCTACCATAATATTATAAAACTAAAACAAACTGTACTCTACTGCTGCGCTAACCAAGCAGGAAGAATATACAAGACTACCTTATAACTCAGTAAACAATTTTAAAATGTGACTGATGAAAAGATTGAAAGTAAAAATGAATTTAAGATTTTTAATACAAAAATAATATACCAATATACATTTTTTGTTAAAGAAGGTTAAAGTAACTGATTTCAAAGTATATGACTTGCAGTAATCAACCATATATATTGAAAGAATCACGATGAGGGTTGTTTTAATAGATTTTCTTTCTCGATAACCATTTCCTAAAATGAAAAATATTAATATAGTAGCAAGCACCCTGCAGAGGTTGCATTATTTCTATTTCCATTATTGGGTTATATACACGACAATGAAACACACATTATTAAATATAGATAGTAATAACATTGTATCATTGTGAGGAACACACCACTAAACGAACACAATATCCAAATTCTGTCGTTTCATTTTTTATGAAAGCTGGTAATCGGTTTTATGATAGATAATTAAAATAAATACAGTTATTAAAAGGCGATTATCTTGATTTATTTTTTTTAATGAGTGCACTTTTGTGAGTTAAAACACTCCCCAGCTATCTTCCCATTGTCGAATCGGGTTGGTTTGCGTTCGTTGTGATTTTATTACTTTCTTTTCTTCCTGAGGTTTTACGATACAGTACGTCCAGATCTAGGTCTTACTATGTAAACGTTCAGACAATAGGTATTTAAATTGGACGACCCGCCGTAGAGACGACCCACGACGAGCGGCCACCCTCGGTTGAGCTACGAAGGAGAGTACTTCGAGAAGCCAACCCCCAGAACCAGCGGAGAACGACGCGTCACCCGCCGCCCAGCCTGAGAGACCCCTTCTAGAGACGACAACCCCAGCAAGATCTTCAAGCAGCACAGCACCAGCCTGCTACGCCCTCCCGGGAGCAAGGACAGGGAGGGGGTAGGTGGTTTAGTGGGTAAACTACGGTGACACCCGTAGGAGTCCCACACTCCCCCGGCACGTCGGGCGCTCCAGGAGGTGCGCTCAACGTATCGGGAAGTGCGTAACGCATTCCACCTACCTATAAAAAAAAAAAAAAAAAACAGACAATAGGTAAATTTCATTCGAAATTCCGTTCATGCAGTAAAATGTGGCAATTTGTTGACAGCTAAGAAAAGAACTGTCTGTTAAGAGGTTTTGATTGGAGGGAGTTAAGTCTGGTAGTGGAACGTGGTTCAAATGGTTCCCTGGTTCATATCTTGCCAATCACCAAACACTTTCGTAATGTTATAGCCTTAAGTAATGTGTAAAATTGCTCTAGTCCGGAGCAAGTTACTTAACAAAGTGGGACAGACAAAAAGTTAGAGCTCTTAAATAGGTTCAGTGCAAACAAAAATTCTAAGCAGTGTTAAAAATCGAAACGAGTCAAAACCAAAATTTACACAATACGAGATAAGACAAATTTATTAGGTAGGAAACTTCGGACCAAAAATCAAACCTGAATCAGCTCTTTGTTCTCGTTTAAAGCCCATCGTAAAGGAAAACTTTCCAAACGTATTATCCCGTCCCTATAATAAATCTGAAAGTTTTCCTTTGCGCACCGAGCTTCCCCACATCAGATATCATATCTGGTGTTACACTTCCTGCGTCGAGGCTTAGAGTGAAAAGTTGGGAGGTTAAAATACTTTCACAACACCATCGCTTCTGTTGCAATATTATATGTGTAGTATTATCTCGAGGTATAGGCTATCTCCTTAGGCATGAAGATAATATGATCCATCGACTATGATATGGACCATTATGGTATGAATCGTCAGCATTTTGTAAACACGCATTTTATACTTCAACTCTAAGTAAATACTTTTTGATATATTGAACTCATGGTTTTGGTCAACCACAGAAAATTCATAATTATTTTCTTCCTTACTTATAAAATTTTTTGTCCAAAGATTAAGTTATGGATTAATATCTAATATAGATTTATTTTACAATTTCATATAGCTTTAAATTAAAAGTCTAATCGTTCATTAAAAGGATTCTTGCAACAATGGTTGATATAGGCTAATTTGTTTTTTTATGTATGTGGAGCTAAAAAATATTGTAATATTAAGATTTTAGCGTAAAAAAACATTGGAGTGAATATGGTTACTAAAAGACTAAATAAAATAAAAGACGAAAGAAAAATCGTAAATTCTTTGACTTTTGCTCAGGGAATGGAAATGTTTTCACTGTTATTTACGTTAAACTCTACACCGTTTCTAACTATCGAGATTATTTCCGAAAGCGTCAATTGTATTTCAGAATCATCGTTTTATTTCAGAAAGTATCATTTTGTATTCCAGAGTAGTAGTTTTTATTTCAGAAAACATCAATTCAATTTCGGAAGAACAACTTGAATTTCAGAAATAGTCATATGGATTTCAGAAATTGTCTCATTAACTTAAGTGTTAGTCAGATGTATTTTAAAAATTAATACAAACGTTGGTTTTAACTGTATTATTCCAAAACCAGCTGCTTATTCCTAATGTTGATAGCAATGTTGTTTACACAAATTATTTCTTAAATACAATAATAATTTATATCTTCTGAAATGCAGTTTATACTATCTGAAATACAATAATTGATATCTTCTGAATTTGCAAATAATTGTTTATGGAAAATAAATGATCATTTCGGAAATTTAAGTGCTTATTATCTGAAATTAAAATTACTATTTTGAAATACAAATGACGCTTTCTAAAATTGAAATCTTACATCTGGAAAACAAATTGCCATTTATGAAATACAAATGACGATTCTGAAATACAATTGACCCTTTCTGAAATGGAAGTGGAAAAGGTGTGTATCGGTATAACAGGATATGTCGTAATTTCAAAACCTGTAATCTTCTTTTATCAATTAAATAAAACTGAATTACAAGTTGAATTGAAGAAAGTTGAAACTGGATTCAAACGTAGCCGCTATTAATAAAATTTAGTAAAACACAGGCTAGCCAAAATTAGTAATTTTATATTTAAGTATGCTATCAATGCGGTTTTAGGTCAAAACCTAATACAAAGAGCAAAAACAAAAAATTGTTAACGCAAAGCTTTGGTCATGAAGACCTAAAAAATAGCTTATTAAGACTTTTAAAGCTGTTAAGTCATGCTTCAATTCTTTATAACTTATATCATATCAAAAGTGTTTATTTCCTACAAATGCACATTACTTTATGTGAATGTATCAAAAGGGTTTCATATGACTACTGTAAAGTGAGTTTTGTGGTGTAAGGTTTTACTAGGGACTTTTTGGACAATGGCCAAGATCTATAATTCTGCACTCTGTAGCATTATTTTACTTCATATAATCTTTCTGTAAATAAGTTAAATTAATCAGCTCACTCTTTATTATTGTTTAAATGTGGTGAATGTGATCGTAGATAACTGACATCTTGCATTGTTAAAAAACATTTTTGAAATTGATCTCCACTGACGAAATAGAAGTGAATGATTTTTCACATAAAAAATGTCCAGGTGTTTGATTAACTACACTACAGGTTGAGATAAATACAACTATGAACTCAACTTATTATATTTTATATACTTATCATACAGAAATATAAATTGAATGGTATTCATAAGTCATAACCTAAAAATTTCACGAAATAAAATGATTTTGTCACCTTTTTCCCATCTCGGAATTTGACACTTCCTTCAATAATTGTGCTGCTATCCGCCATGGCACTAGACACTTTACATTGACAAAGGTTATGTCAATAATTAAAGCCACACACTTCAAGAATCTACAAGTCCGCACAGATGTTCACGTTGAACTGACGGGAGTTGAGCGCGAACTGAACAGCTCAACAGCTGATTCAATTCAACAATGTACCTAGCAGCACGCGCAGCGGTGTTTCTACGAACTAAAACGTCACTGCCTTCTTTATTGCACCGCCGCGACCGTGGCAGCCATTCACTCTTACTTGTTCTATTTTTGTTACAAAACATTGTGCTAAAAAGGGAGTAGCTATTTATATTTTATTTTATCTTTGTGGTGGCTTTTCTACAAAATCGGAGATTTGTTTGTAATGTCGGTTGTATAATCGGTATTTTTTTACTCGGAGATGTTGCCGATCATTTGAATATTATTAATTAATGACACATTATCTTCATTTTAGGTATGCAATAAATTAAATCGTTTCAATGACAAAGTAACTTTTTGTCTAATGCACGAAAACCACTTAATAATCTAATTACACATCATTTTAACTTGTGAGTATTTTTAAGTATTATCTCAAATCTACAAAATGTTACCACCTCCAACACATTAAAAAATTTATGTAATATAAAATCAAAATATTCTATATTATCACCAAATCACGTGCACGGGCCGTTTCAGACTAAACATCATAACACAATACATAGGTAAATACTTTTGCATTGCTGTCAACCAACTAATTAATAGTACACATTTAAGTAATAATGGTAAAATATAAATACTATCAATGCCAATAACATTGCAAATGAAATCATGAGTTGGTTCTCGCTCGGAAGTGTGCACATGCCGCTTCCATATATACTGGCCCGTTTCCTCGTCATACTGGAGGACCGATGTTGCTAGGTGTCGAAAGAGATTCATTTCTCTACCCACCTATAACCTGTCTGTTACCGCAAGGTAGCCATATATTGGTGACTTGTGGACCACTTACACCTCAGCAGCGATCTTTGTTCTCCTTTTTTAGAAAATGATTGATTTTTATTCCAAAAATTTTAGTTTATACTACAGGCGAATGAGTGTTCAAGATCGACAGTGTTTATAATTTCTGATATGATGTAACATTGTTTAGTTCAAAATGTGAATTTTAGTGGTATCTAAAAACAACCTTTTAAAGTGAAAAGTTTTACTAGTTTTAAAATTAAATTCTTAACCACTTAAACAGCCTACTCTAAATTATGTTATATGACTCAACTGAAAATCGTTTATCACATTATTATTCTACGCGTTGGTTACCCGCATATTCAGAGAACTAATCTCGAAAATCGAAAAATTGTCGTTCTTTCTTTAAAGTGATGAAACAAAATAATGTAGATTTCCGGCTTCTAGATAAACCTGTATATAAATAAAACTTAACCAATTCCACTATTTATTAATTTTAGTATCGAACAGAATGTATGCGTTTGTGTGGTAATTCGAGCAACAAATGTAATTAATGATTTATCATATTTTGTATGTAAAGTTTAAGCACCTTCTACAAACTTAATTAAAATAACCCATTTTGAAAAAAATACCACACTAGAAACTTGTTTATGCAGTTTTGGTTCATTTAAGATATTTTCAAATGTACTGTTTCCTCTAAAATACGATGAACTGAAGGTAATTTTCAAAAGCCGATTTTTAAAACTGGAGTTTCACAATTGTGACTATATTAAACGTCGATATGAAACAAGTGAAAATGAAATCGTTGCCAAATACCCTGTGAAGCTCTGTCAGTCTGTTTACGGTAGATGAAGCAGGCCATCTGGCTCACTAATTAGACAACAAACTGCAACACGGACTATGTAATCTGTAACAGTGACACTGAATATAACGACAGCCAATACAACACTGCCGCCAGGGACCGCTCGGTCATTGTTCCATATTTCATTCCACCGAGTAATAAATTGTTTGCGAACATCCCAAATATTTATTTGCATCAGCGGTGAGAGTTTATTAATATTTTATATGAAATATTTTAGCGTTATGACAGTTATTCGACAAACTTTGAGGAGATTTTGATGTTTTTACACAGGCATTATCTTACGGTATTGGGAATTGTAGTCTATCAACACAATATAAAAGTTATCGTAGTTGATACAAAGATGGATTTTTATAGGTGAAAATGAAAAATGTGTCTAATAATTTGATTGCTTCTGGTAAAGGAAACAATTTTTCAATTCCCTGTATGATACATTATAGGCTGATGTATTCATATAATGTATATTATGTATTGTTCTTTGATATATAAGTTTTTTGCAAGTACGCATTCATTAGGCAGGAGTTGATTATGTATTATAACAATACATGTATTTTATGTTTGGTTTATGTATGTGCAATCAGCTGAATGTCAGGATAAAAACTGATACTCTATGTCGAAATGTAAAGCTAGAAAATCGATTATAGAAATTAAAATCTAAGGTTAGGATGAATAAACAAACTATTATAAATTAAAAAAGATGCATGTTTAATACCATTTGAAATGTGATGGCAAGCAACCCTTAAATAATGGTTTCTGCCCTTAAGAAAGGGTTAAAAAACTAATATTTTTTCTGGGAATTTCTAATCAAGCCCTTTTATTTAACTATGCGGAGTTCCCAGGCTTACGGGTATTCTCAAAACCTCGTACTTCTTGTTCCTTTTGAGTGTTTTACACAAGTTATATTAAATTCTCGGAATGACCGGAAGGTGGCATTGAGTGCCGCATTAAAACGACAATTAAAACATGAGTCATGGTTCATTCCTCGCCTCCCCACTCAAACTTAGTAATTCCCAGAAATGTCCGACAGCTCTTACTGTCTCCATGTTCGAAAACCAAATGTTTATCCTCAAGAAAACGCTTTAGAGAGTTACGAGCGCTGTAAACTACATGGTTGATATCTCATGGAATCAAAACAGTTTACTTGGTTTTGGAAGAAGAGATTCGATTAATTTAATTTTTTAAGTAACGTAAAAATCATATTTGTGGCTTCTGTATTTCAAATAATTGTTTCTTGGATGGTCGCTTTGGCATATTAATCTTATAATTTATAAACATTACGATTGGTATCCTATTAGAAAATAACATTCGGATTTCGTCTCGCGCGTTTTCAATTCTATCAGTAGATAGGCGCTGCAGTTACTAAATAGTAAAACAATCTTGGCTCTTTATGTACTCATTTATAAAACTACTGTTTAACTTCATAAGTATTCGCATGGCTCAATCACGTCCTGGTTGAAGTTCGTTCGCTACGCTCACTCACCTTTAGGTTGGAGCTCGTTCGCTGCTCTCACTTGCCTTCAGGTTAGCTCGTTCGCTACGCTAACTCCCCTCCAGGTTGAAGTTCGTTCGCTACGCTCACTCACCTTTTGGTTGCAGATTAACTGTTGTCATAAATTAAAAAAAATAATAGTGCTGCACCCTGTTGGTAATCCTTGTAACTTTAATGCTATTAAACATCATAGAACAGAACCAACTTGTTTAATTGAAACAGCTGTTAAGATTCATTCATTCCTTTTAAATATGAAAAATCATAAGGTTAACATGGGAAACTCCAGAGCCACTGGCGGAGCCTGAAAGCCCGCTTGGAATAAAAACTACTTAGTTTTCCTATTTAATGCCCAAAGAATCGGTGTACCGAATTTCAGCCTCCTAGGTAAATGGGAAGTGGGAGAATTAGTGATGAGTGAGTGAGTCAGTCAGTGAGTCAGTGAGGGCTTTGCCTTTTATATATTTAGATTCTTTGCCTTCTGAATCAAAAATCTATACTACTGTAAATAAACAGCTTGTTACCTGTTACCGTTGTCAATTCTATAGTTTTATTAACCATAGGACTAAAAACTATAAGTTTTACCGACTACTTTTAGTAAAAACTATAGGAATGACAACGGTAAAAGGTAACTTGCCTATTTATTCAGTATCGAATGTTATAAACAAACAAATTTGCCTATTGGCAATAGATATCGAAAACGCGAGATTTATTATTTAATACTGTAAAACTCAACAAGAAAACTTTTTTTTTTTTTTGAACGGGGATAAGAAGTGACAGGACAACTATATCAGACTGCTCGGTCTGCGGTGTTAAGCTCTAAATTAATTTAAACTGTTCTGGGCAGATTGAGAGGGAAAGTGAGGATGAGAGGGGGAGAGAGTACGATAGAGAGAAGAGAGGGGAGAGAGAGAGAGAGAGGGAGAGAGAGAGAGAGATAGAGTGAGTGATATTGGAGGGGAAGGGTTACAGAGGGGTAGCTGGAAGCGATCAATTGGAAACTTTGGATCGCAGATTTGTTACGTTTTGTTCTAATGAGACCGACTGCAATTTTAATCAAGGAAAAGTTTTCAAGGTTGCCCAAGGGAACAATGACTCCAACCCTCAAAAACTTTTGTTGGGAATAAAATCGTGGGTTGATCTTCATCTTTGATAATTGGTTTGAGATTTCAATTACGAAAGGATTTGCGGGTTCAAATAAAACTACAGCAAGTTTATTTCTAAGTTATTTGATAGTAATTGCCTCGACATATTTTAAGTACCTAATTTGATCAATCAATCGTTATTCATATTACGTGTCTATGAATAAAATCTTTTTTACAAAATAGTTAATACAGATTTAACTTATCTTATAAACTATAACAGACCCAAGTCATAATAACTTTAAATCATTTAGTAATATTGATCTACTATACAAAACGGTGAATCTTATTTTGTGCAGGTTAACAAAGTAAACGTCCACAATAATGCTCAACCACTGGTTGTATCCTCGCTGGAATATTACGTAAGCACCTATGACGATTACAACAGTAAATCCAAACCCAACACGACGTCAGCACGAGAAATCGTCAAGTGAAGTATTGAATTACTGTAAATTGTATTGAAACATATGGACACTTATTACATGCTAAGCTGGTGTTCCAAGTTAGATCAAAACTGACGAAAGTGAACACACTATCGTACTAGTGCTAGCGCACCTATGAGTAAACTCAGGTTCAGCAAGCTTACACGAATCTGGCTTTGGTGATAAAAGAGGAAAATCTAAGGCCGATATTTTAGGGTACCGAATTTATGAGGTTAAGATTAGTCGAA